TATTTCACTTGAAAATGGTTTTCGGATTAAAAACTGCATAACGCTGAATTTTACGAAAAGCTCGGTAAAAACGTGTTTTATTTATCTTTAAGATTTGGATCACTTCAAAATGGTCAGTATGGATTATTAAATGGTTTTTGGTCTGAAAAGGGTAAATTAGACAGTTGGTGGAGTTTTTATCTTTAAAACGGTAAAAATGAGCTTAATACGAGATTTGCAATAAATACCGAGTGTAATATTATTTTCACGGTTTTGAGCCGTTGAAAAATATAAAAACTGGACAGACCTGTTTTATGATGATAAATGGAGGTTCTTGTATTTTTGGGAGATTTTTGGATTTACCGTTTTGTTGGAATTTAATTTATCGTAAAATAATGGTTAATACGAGATTTTTGATATTTTATTGTCTAAATTGATTTTTATGAACAGAACTAGATTAAATGGATTTTTGTGTCAATAAATTCAGTTACATGAATTTTGTGAGGATTTTAATGAAGGAAAGTGAATTTTGAGTTAAGGATATTTTTAACCGCAATCGGGTTATTTATAATTATTTGCGTTGGCGCTATTTCGTGAAATTGTTGATAAATTTTGGATGAGGAATGGTGACATGGTACTGCTGAGTAGTTTTACTGGAGAATGAAATGATTTATGTGATTCGGTATTGGATGATGAAATAGTTGATTTTTTTTTGAAACGTCGAGTTGATAATCGACGGGAAATATATATATGGATTGGTCAATCCGTGAGACTACATTGATTCCGGATTGATTGTGATGGATGAGAAAAATGGAAATAGTTTGATTCGTGATCATATTAATTCACGTAGACATAGAAAGGGCCTGCACTTACCCTCACCCCTTGAGAGTGGGTAGATTAGCTCGCTTATGCGATTGAGTGTTGTGGTTGCATGAGCACCACGGATGAGTGTTGTGGTTAAAAACCACGGATTGAGTGTTGTGGTTGCATGAGCACCACGGATGATGATTTGCTCGAGCGAGGGTGAGTGTATGGTGACCTTGGCGCCATTAATAATTAACCGGAATTTTCATATCATGCATTGATTATGTGTTCGTGAAATTACGTGATTATCTTATTGGATAAATTGATTTGGTGATGATGAGTTGGTGGATTCGATAATTTGATCGGTAATTTATATATGATGATTTAAGATGGCATCTAGAGTAATAAATTATGATTGTTTGATTAGCTGATTGCGGTCCCAAAATTAGGTCGTGGGAAAGATCCACACACACAGCTTAGTTGCTGACCCACGTCTGTTTTCAGGCTCGCAGGTGCAACTAGGATCGGACTACTGAGGCTGCCCTATCCTTCTGTACTACCATCATGAGGTAGTTTGGAACACTGTTCTGTCATGGTCACCTAGGATTTTTGCTTTGAGTGTTTGAATAATAAACCCACATTTTGTAAAAATTCAATAAGTGGGTTGGGATTCGAATAATGAGTTTGTATGATAACGGTTTATGTTTGTGTTTAATTATCGGATATGATGTTTGAGATGATCGAGTTCAACCAGTAACACCGATGATTTGGCTGCGCGGTTGAACCACGGGTTCAACCATAGAGATTATGGGTGGGGTGTTACAGTGCCTCCTAACTAGCATGTCTTTTAGGTCGTTTCACCGGACCGTTGTCTTCAAGTACTCAGTTCAACTCAAGACCTCCTTGATGTTGAGGTTCTCATCGGTGAGGTGGTGTCTCAAGCCCCGAGCTTTGGATGCTTCAAATGATGTGAATGACCTTCCTTGAAACGGCTGTTGTTGGTGTGGCCTTGGCTTGGCAAAGAGAATTCACCAAGAGGGACTGTTGATGGCGTGGCCTTGGCTTGGCAAAGAGAATTCGCAAAAGTATCCTTCTCTAAAACTGTATCAAGGTCGGATGGAAAGCTTTGGTAGCACATATAACTTGTAGAAGCTTCATCCATCCCTTCCTTGTCCATTGATCGAAATCTGATTGCGTCTTCAACCTCCTCTCCCTCTTGTGAAGAATCTTCTCCGTGTCGGGTACCAAGCTCTCCTCTTCTTCACTTTCTCCTTCCTTCCTCACAACCTGATCAATGCTTCCTTCTTTAGTTTCCTCTTCTTGATGATTAGGAGCAACGATGGCTTTACAAGCAAGTTCTTCAATAGATCTTCAAGTTCCACTTGCTTGTCCACCCTTGAGACACCTTCCTCTTCTACCGCTACCTCTTTTGTTTCATTCTTGATTACAAAGAGGCGCTCTTTGCTGAGTCTCGAGCAAAGTTGCTCAATAACTCTTCCATTCTCCTCTATCCTCTTGAGCATCTCTTCTTGTTCTTTGAGGAAGTCTTGAGTAGAAGGGTCGGGACTTCTGTCCCTACGGTCCCCACCTCTTGTAGCCAACTTTCCTCCCGTTTAACATCTTTAATCTAGAAGCAACCCGGAGGAAGGTTGGGATTGCTAGCATCTACGCACTCCATTGGGATGTTGTAGCGCTCAAATGCTAACTCTCCAAAGCTCTTTGGTGTAGGTGGTGGTAAATATTGAAGTGTACTCCCGCTCCCGGCCATTAGTTTTTCTAACTCGAGCTCCAAGAGGCTCTTTGATTCTGGGGTTGGAGTTGAGTGAGTTTTCTAAGGCCTTCTAAATTTGTCGTATACGCCTCAAGTCACTCAATGACCATCTCCAACTCGGTTTTCACCATAGGTTGTGGAGGTGGTTCTTGGTATGATGGTGGAGATGCTTGATAATCATGAAGGTAAGGTTGATAGGCATGGAGAGGTAGTTATTCTTCGTACCCGGATCCTTGGCTAGCACCACTACTAGAAGCTTCAAGATAACACCAATTCGGCAGTTGGTGATCTCCCCACTTCCCATGCCCACCATATGGATCCATAGCTACACCTAAACATTATGTATATTCACAAAAACAACCTATGAAAGCACAAGTGTAAAAAGGAAAGAAAACAAAAAGTGAATAAACACTTAACACAAGATAACTAAAGGGAACATAACAATGGAAGAAAGAATACGAGAAACAAAATAAGACATGACAAATATAAAACACAAGAAAATGGCACCAAAGGATTAATGCTACAGCAACACAAAACACGACAAAACAACGCCAAACTTGGCACACAATAAATGATTAAACTAGTAGTTCTCGACTTTTCCTAATAACTTAAGATTCCCCGCCAACGGCGCCAAAAACTTGATACACTTTGCATGATCGAACTTTAAATTATAAGTCGATGCCCACTCTCTATTCAATCCTAACTAAGCCAAGCATAACCTAGCTAGGGTTTTAGTAAAGTGACTCGATCGTATTCCAAGAGAACTCTAAGCTTACTATTACTTTGCTCCGAATTACTATCTAATCGAATCAGAAGTTTGGGTGTTTAAACTATTCTAATCTAATCCTAAAAGCAAAATAAAAAACCAACCAAGTGGTTGGGAGACCTCTAGAAATGAGATGGTTGCCTAGAATCGAATTTCCCCTAACCATAGTCGGTAAGTTGAGCTGATGGTTATGGTGCAGAACTCTCTAATCTCGGAGCGAAGATAACTCACTATCACTAGTTTGCGAGTTGTCGCATACCCGTCTAACTATAAACCTCCATACCCAGCATAGTAGCATAAAGTAGGCTAGTAGAAAAGATTAGGGAGACTTATCCAAGCATAAATACCAACACATGAGACATAAAGTCACTAGAACAACATACTTATATATAAACTGAGTCAAATACCAACATACAATCTAGGGTTCATCTGTTCTAAACAACCATTAGAAATTCAAGTCATTAGAGAGAAAAAGAAAACACAAGCTAGGAGAGGAGAGTGATGGAATCAATCTTCTTCTCCTTGCTTGCACCTTCGCCTTGCTCCTTGAGTGGATTGGATCTTCAATTAATCTCTCCCAAGGTGTTTCCTTCTATAAAAACAACCCAAAACACTAAATTTCTCACTCTAGGGCGGCTCTCTCTTGAAAAGTGCAGCAAGAGGGATATTTATAGGAAGCTGATGGCAGTCAAGGACTCCGGGGCATGACGCGATGGTCACGACCATGCCCTAGCGTGACTAGCTGGAACATCCCCGTATAATCTTAGAGGGGGTTGATGCTTGGGTCTCTGACTAGCTGGAACGTCTCCTGATGCCTGGGTCTCTGATGTTGTGTCTCTCTTAGGTGAGAATGTTATTTTGGATATTCCTTTATAGTATAATCTTAGATGGGGCTAAGAGGGAGAGAACTAATATGTTGGTTTATCTTAGCACTGTTGGCTCGAGTCAGGTGTCCAGCAATTTATGTACAGGTTCTTGGTGGATGATGTCTTCTCGGGGGTTCTGAACTTCCCTGCTGATTCCGTTTGGAGGAAGTCTGTCCCTCCCTAAATCTACTCTTTCATGTAGCGGGTGGCGCATAAACGCATCCTTATTTTGGATAATCTCAGCAAGGAAGAGACGCAGCAACGACGACACACTGCGTCTGCTTCTTCCTCCTCGTTGCGGATCTATGGAGCAAGGGTCGCTGTCCTTCTCCATGTCAATGGCAACACAACACCTAGCGGCAACTATGGTTCTTCTTCCTTCTCCCCGGCAATAGAGCAGCAACAGGCGACTTTCGACTTCCTCCTCCTTCTCCTTTTAATTTCTCCGTGATGCCAGAGCAGAAGCTGCCCGCCTGAAACAGAGCAACAATGAAAGCTGCGGATTTGGCCATTCGGGTGGGGGATTGGGTATAGATGAATGGAGGGGCGATTGGAAGCTGCGGTGACAGTTTTTCTTTACTCATATGTGAGAATGGAGAGGCGGCGGCGCGACTGTGGCGTCAATTCTTTTCTGCCCAGAGGTGGTGGTCGAGTGTGGAGGGTAGAATTGGATTAGGGGTGAATGTGTTATTTCGGTATAGATTAGGGCGATAAAATTCAAATTTTTGGATGACAAATGAAATAGCATTTAGTAATAATTGAACCCCGCTTTCCCGCGGTGGGGAAGGGACCGAAGGGACAATTGCAAACGGGTCGGACTTAACCCGTGTCACTCTGCTGGCAGGCGTGGCATTGCCTCAGCAAGACTAGAAGGGAAAAAAACCCTAATTTGCGCCCTTCCCTCTCCCCTCTTTATTTTAAGACTACCCAGACAGACAAAACCGTTTCGCCACCTCCCCTCACTATCACAGCGCTGCTCTGAGCTCTCCTCTCCTTCCCCAAAACTGCAAAATCAACTGTCTGATTCCTAGTCCATCCATACAATATATGTGTATATAGCTCCATTTCGTCCATCTCTCTGGGTTTTCCAATTTGAACAGACGCGACAAACAATGAGCAGTCATTGCTTGAACCGCTGCGAAGCTCTGTCTTCGACTTCTCTCATGCACACCGCGGCAGCCTCACCCGACCGCCGTCTTCCCCGTCCCGGAAGCTTCTCCTTGTTCTCCTCCCGCCGGAACGGCAGCTTCTCTTCTCTGAATCTCCACTCATGCCGGCACCGGCGGCAGATTCGCCACTCCAAGGGGTGTATCAAATCCGCCGTTGTGCGCTGCAGCTCGGCGGAGTCTAGCGAAGCGGCGGTGGAGGCGAAGGTTGTCGGAAAGAGGAGCGATTTCAAGAAAATTATGATACTTGGTGCGGGACCGATTGTGATTGGGCAAGCTTGCGAGTTCGATTACTCGGGGACTCAGGCCTGCAAGGCGCTCAAGGAGGAAGGATACGAGGTCGTGCTGATCAATTCGAACCCAGCTACAATCATGACGGACCCGGAATTGGCCGACCGGACTTACGTGGCTCCGCTGACTCCCGAGGTAGTGGAGCGAATCATTGAGAAGGAGCGGCCCGATGCGCTGCTGCCGACCATGGGTGGCCAGACCGCACTGAACCTCGCCGTTGCCTTGGCGGAAAATGGTGCATTGGACAAGTACAATGTGGAGTTGATTGGAGCGAAGCTGGAAGCTATCAAGAAGGCTGAGGATAGGGATCTTTTCAAGCAGGCTATGAAGAATATTGGGATCAAGACGCCGCCATCTGGGATTGGAACTACGCTGGATGAGTGTATTCAGATTGCTCAGGATATTGGGGAGTTCCCATTGATCATCAGACCGGCTTTTACTTTGGGCGGGACAGGTGGTGGAATTGCTTACAATAAGGAGGAGTTCGAGTCTATTTGCAAGGCGGGGCTGAATGCGAGCTTGACTACGCAGGTTTTGGTGGAGAAGTCGTTGCTTGGATGGAAAGAGTATGAATTGGAGGTGATGCGTGATTTGGCGGATAACGTGGTGATTATTTGCTCGATTGAGAATATTGATGCCATGGGTGTTCATACCGGAGATTCGATCACCGTGGCCCCAGCTCAGACTCTGACGGATAAGGAGTACCAGAGGCTGAGAGACTATTCGATTAAGATTATAAGGGAGATTGGAGTGGAGTGTGGAGGGTCTAATGTTCAGTTTGCTGTTAATCCTGTTGACGGGGAGGTTATGGTGATCGAAATGAATCCTAGGGTGTCGAGGTCGTCGGCCTTGGCTTCCAAGGCTACTGGGTTTCCCATTGCCAAAATGGCGGCTAAATTATCTGTTGGGTACTCCCTGGACCAGATCCCCAATGATATTACAAAGAAGACGCCTGCTAGCTTTGAACCTTCAATTGATTATGTGGTTACTAAGGTAAATCAGCTCCTGCTTATTGTTATAATAATTTGTTCCGTATTCCATCATTCGATAGGCTTGATAGTATCAGAAGTCATAGCGCAGCTTCTTGTTTTCTATCCATGGTCTTTGTTAATTGACACTTTAAGTTACATTGTTGACTAAGATAGGTTATGGAAATTTTGTAAGGTGCTAGTTAGTAGAACTGTTTAATGTAAATCAATATGGGCTGGCCTGTGGTGACTTCTCTTTCAACTACGAGAACCAAATTAAACAAACATGGTCTTGTACATTGTTCTTATTTCTGATCCTCTGTTTGTCACCAAGAAAAAACATGTTCTTCATATACCAACTCTTTGATATCTTTTTTTTTTCTATCAGATACCTCGATTTGCATTCGAGAAGTTCCCAGGTTCTCAACCGATACTCACAACTCAGATGAAATCTGTTGGTGAAGACATGGCAATGGGCCGCACATTTCAAGAGTCCTTTCAAAAAGCTGTTCGGGGGTTGGAGTGTGGTTACCCAGGATGGGGTTGTTCACGTATCAAGGAACTCGAATGGGATTGGGACCGATTGAAATACAACCTACGAGTTCCAAACCCAAATCGCATCCATTCTGTGTATGCAGCTATGAAGAAGGGAATGAAAGTGGATGAGATTCATGAATTGAGTTACATTGACAAATGGTTCCTTACCCAGCTTAAAGAGTTGGTGGATGTGGAACAGTATCTCATGTCCAAGAGCTTGTCTGATTTAACAAAGGATGACCTGTATGAGGTTAAAAAGCGAGGTTTTAGCGACAGACAGGTAGCATTTGCCACTAAGTCAACAGAAAAGGATGTTAGAGAACGCCGATTGTCTTTTGGCATTACTCCAGCCTATAAGCGAGTGGATACCTGCGCTGCAGAGTTTGAGGCTGATACTCCCTACCTGTACTCATCATATGATTCTGAATGTGAGGCAACTCCTACTTCAAGGAAAAAGGTTTTGATTTTAGGTGGGGGCCCCAACCGTATTGGACAGGGTATTGAGTTTGATTACTGCTGTTGCCACACATCATTTGCCCTCCAGGTTTGAATGTTTCCACTCTTTCTAAACTGTGAGAAAAACCTATTTTTGCTGTCATTTGGACATATGTTTGAACCGTATAAGGGCCTTGTTCATTGCGCCTTCCCGCTGGACTGGACACGTCTCAGCTGTAGGAAGTATGGTTCCGAAATTGAGAGGGGAGATGAGTGATGGAAAGAGTGAGTTGCATTTGGCATTTTAGAATTATGTTGCACAAAAGGGAAAGGATCTCTCTCACTCCCGGTAGCTTTATTGCAATAAGATGTTCCTCAAATTTTACTGTTAACTATCCAATACTCGAAAGATTTGTAACGTTGCATTGTCATCTCTTACACAGTTTTTTTCTCTTGTACAGGATGCAGGATATGAGACTATAATGATGAACTCAAATCCGGAGACAGTGTCAACAGATTATGATACAAGTGATCGTCTCTATTTTGAACCTTTAACTGTTGAAGATGTTCTGAATGTTATTGATCTAGAACGACCTGATGGCATAATTGTCCAGTTTGGAGGTCAAACCCCACTAAAACTGGCTTTGCCTATTCAGCAATACTTGGACGAGAATAAGCCAATGGCAGCTAGTGGGGTTGGGCCTGTTCGCATCTGGGGCACAACACCTGATAACATTGATGCTGCTGAAGACAGAGAGAGGTTCAATGCCATTCTCAAAGAGTTGCAAATCGAGCAGCCTAAAGGAGGCATTGCCAAGAGCGAAGCTGATGCTCTGTCTATTGCATCAGAAATTGGTTATCCTGTTGTTGTCCGGCCATCGTATGTGCTAGGTGGCCGAGCCATGGAGATCGTGTATAGTGATGAAAAGCTAATCACTTACCTCGAAAATGCAGTCGAGGTGGACCCAGAGCGGCCAGTTTTGATCGATAAGTATCTCTCAGATGCCGTCGAGATTGATATCGATGCTCTGGCGGACTCAAATGGAAACGTTGTTATTGGTGGCATTATGGAGCACATCGAGCAGGCTGGGGTCCACTCTGGTGACTCGGCTTGCATTCTCCCGACGCAGACTATCTCTTCATCATGTTTAGCAACAATAAGGACATGGACAGAGAAATTGGCTAAACGTATAAACGTGTGTGGTTTGATGAACTGCCAGTATGCAATCACTGCAGCTGGAGATGTTTTCTTGCTGGAAGCAAATCCCCGTGCCTCTCGAACTGTTCCTTTTGTCTCCAAGACAATAGGCCACCCGTTGGCTAAATATGCTGCTCTTGTCATGTCCGGGAAGTCGCTTCATGACTTGGGCTTTACTAAAGAGGTGATCCCTTCACATGTTGCTGTGAAGGAAGCAGTGCTTCCGTTCGAGAAATTTGCAGGTTGCGATGTGCTGTTGGGACCTGAGATGAGAAGTACAGGAGAGGTGATGGGGATCGATTTTCAAGTGGCTGTTGCCTTCGCAAAGGCTCAGTTGGCCGCTGGGCAGAAGCTGCCTTTGTCAGGGACGGTTTTCTTGAGCCTCAACGACTTGACAAAACCACATCTTGAGAGGCTGGCTAAGGCATTTATAGAACTAGGGTTCAGGATCATTGCCACATCTGGGTCGGCTCACTTCCTTGAACTGAAAGGTATCCCTGTGGAGAGAGTGTTGAAGATGCACGAGGGTCGCCCGCATGCTGGCGATATGCTGGCGAATGGGGATATTCATCTGGTGGTGATCACTAGCTCGGGGGATGCTCTGGACCAGATTGATGGCAGGCAGCTGAGACGGATGGCTCTTGCATACAAGGTTCCAATAATCACAACGGTTGCAGGTGCTTTGGCAACTGCTGACGCGATAAAGAGCCTGGCGTCACGTCCTTTTGATGTGATGCCGCTTCAGGACTTTTTTGATGTGGAGCTGCTGGAACAGAGAAGTAAAAAGTTGCAATCAGCATCGATTTCCTTGTGATTTTTGGGGGCAGCATGTTTTCTATTTTGCAGTAGGTGGGGACTATGTTTGTGTTCTAATGGCTTGGAATTTTGTGTGTTAAGCAAGTGTAACCTGTTATTGGGGTGCTGTTGTCTTGCACTAGATTGTCGATCGGGCAATGAAGAGAGACGCAATGGAATACATAAGAGTCTCTTCCCGTTGCTGAAGTAAAAATCTTTTCCATTTTGGTCAAGGTGGTTTGAAACCACTGGTTTCCAGTCACTATTATCAAAGAGCTGGCAGTAAGTTTGTTTAGTGGTATGGCCTAGGGGCTAAGCTAGGATGTTCTCTTGTCAAGTTTTACTAATTCGAGCTGTTAATATTTGTTCGGGTTAATTGCACGGTTGGTCACTGAGATTATAAAAAACATTCATGTTTGGTCACTGGAAATATTTAAATCCAATCTTGGTCACTCAAATTTGTTAAATGGTTCAAGTTTGGTCACTCTTGGTTACCTTCCGTCAATCTCCGTTAACGCCGTCAATTTTTTGCTGACGTGGCTAACAGAAATATCTAGTCACCCAATTTTAATCCGAAAATTTAAAATTAAACACACCACGTCATTAAAAATTTACACATCATATAACCACAACCTAACCCATAAACCAACCTGTGAACCAACCCCATCTCTCTTCCCCTCTTCCCTCTCTTTATCTATCTACGTTTCGTCTTCCTCACCGACCAAGTAGCAACGGCAACGGCGACAAGCCACACTCCACGTTGTATCAAATCGAAGAACAATAGTGAAAGATAGAGCGAGCGACGCGCTATTGGAGAGAGAAGAGACGGGAAGAGGAGAAGAAAATGAGATTCAGATTAATTATATCTGGAGCTCCGAATTTTCCCCTCACCCTAACTCGATCTCTGTCGGCTGATGCTCCTTGTGGTAGCGCCGGATTCGGGGACGAGGATGTCAGATCCACTCTGAATTGGGACCGACCTAAACGACCGGGGGTTTGGGCCTCCCGTCGATGGTCTCTGAAGTGCGGCCGGAGCAGCACCTCGAGAGGATTGAAGGGCAGACAAAAGAATTTGGGGAGGTGGAGTAGAGGATGAAGGCTGCGATGGATCGACAGCCTTCCTCATCCTTATCGTTCGACGGCGAGATTCAGACCTACCCTGCCTTCGCCATTCATCATTGCATGTCTTTGTCATACTCAATCAGAGATTGGGTGGGAATAGAGGAGAGAGAGATGCATAATGGAGAGAGGGATAGGCGGAGAGGAGAAGGGTGTAGGCCGTTGGAATTGGAATATGGGTTGTGTATAAGTTTAATTTGGGTTGGTTAATGGGTTGGATTGGAATTTTGATGATGTGGCGGGTTGAGTGTAAATTTTTTTGAGATAAAATAGGCTGATTGGACGATTCTGTTAGCCACGTCAGCAGAAAACTAACGCCGTCAACTGAAGCTAACGGAGACTAACGGAGAGTGACCAAACATGACATGTTTTAGTAAACTTAGTGATCAAAATTGGATTTAAATATTTTCAGTGACCAAACATGAACGTTTTTTGTAATCTCAGCGGTCAACTTTGCAATTAACCCATATTTGTTCAATTAGAGCTCTACTCAAATTTGATTTGAGTTAAGTTTGGTAAAAAAAAGGAATCCTCTCCTCACCCTCAGTAGGTGGTGGGACCTCAATTATTATTCATATGCCTCATACATTCTCAATTCTCTTAGTTTAAATTTTTAAGAAAAAGAAATCCTCAAACATTTTTGACGCTGTTGCCGGATAATCTTAAGTTATTATGAAAAGCCGAGAACTACTATATAATCATTTATTGTGTGCCAAGTTTGGCGTTGTCTTGTTATGTTTTGTGTTGGTGTAGCATCAAGTCTTTAGTGCCATTTTCTTGTGTTTTCTATTTGTCATGTCTTATTTTATTTCTCGTATTCTTTCTTCTTTTGTTATGGTCCTTTTAGTTATCCTGTGTTAAGTGTTTATTCGCTTTTTGTTTTCTTTCTTTTTACACTTGTGTTTTTCATAGGTTGTTTTTGTTTTTGTGAATATAGACAGTGTTTAGGTGTAGCTATGGATCTATATGGTGGGCATGAGAAGTGGGGAGATCACCAACCGCCGAATTGGTGTTACCTTGAAACTTCTAGTAGTGGTGCCAGCCAAGTATCCGAGTACGAAGAACAACCACCTCTCCATGCCTATCAACCGTACCTCCATAAATATCAAGCATCTCCACCATCGTACCAAGAACCACCTCCACAACCTTTGGTGAAGACCGAGTTGGAGATGACCATTGAGTGACTTGAGGCATATACGACAAATTTATAAGACCTTAAGACAACTCACCCAACTCCAACCCCAGAATCAAAGATCCTCTTGGAGCCCGAGTTAGAAAAACTCATGGTCGGGAGCTGGGACGGAGCAAGGATTCTTGATTGGGGGGGGGGGGGGCGAAATTATTTTCCAACATATTGATAAAAGAAAATTTGTGAGAGAATTTCAATTACATACAAATAGTTCATAAATTTTTTAATATTATGCCTCTTAAAGTTGTGCCAAAATTAAAAAACAATAACTTATCTCTTCTAAACTCATGATAAAATATCGTGTGTTTCATACATCGTATATTTACCAATTTCATAATTCATAAATTCGAATGCAATCCAATTATAAAATCAAGAATTCGAAATTTAACCATATATATATATGAAGATGGTAAATTTTTTAAGAAATATGAAGATACCTGTAAAGAAATCGACAAAAAAACTAAAGAATGCAGAGAATATTCATATTAACTAAAATAAACTTACCTCTTGGCCACAAATAATATCAGTTACGTCTCATAACCACCAAACACGGTATACATTATATTCTTGAGGTGTTTTTTAGAATTTAAGAGATGGAGACATAGTCACTAAATGAAATCTATGATTCATAAAAGGGAGAGTGAGACACTAAATAATATGTAGACTGATATATGTTATTATTAGAAAAGGGGAGCCCAAAGGCTCGGCCGAGTCACCACTCACCAACCAGATGATTGAGGAGGTGTCATTCCAATAATTAAAATAAGCTAAAAATTGAAAAAACAAGGTTCAAACGAGAAACCTTTACACACACTTATTAGACAAGCCTTACGACCACCACGCCACAGCAACTAATATGTCATCTACTAACGATTTTACCTATTTGTAAAACTTAGGGGGGAGGGGGGCACGAGCTAGCTCCGTCCCTGGATAGGAGCGGGAGTACACTTCAACATTCACCACCACCTACACCAAAGAGCTTTGGAGAGTTAGCATTTGAGTGCTACAACATCCTAATGGAGTGCCTAGATGCTAGCGATCCCAACCTTCCTCTGGGTTTCTTCCAGATTAAAGATGTTAAACGAGAGGAAAGTTGGCTCCAAGAGGTGGGGACCGTATGGACATCTTTCATCAAGGGAAGTCCCGACCCTTACTCAAGACTTCCTCAAAGAACAAGAAGAGATGCTCAAGAGAATAGAGGAGAATGGAAGAGTTATTGAGAAACTTTGCTCGAGACTCAGTCAAGAGCGCCTCTTTGACATCAAGAATGAAACAAAAGAGGAAGCGGTAGAGGAGGAAGGTGTCTCAAGGGTGGACAAGCAAGTGGAACTTGAAGATCTATTGAAGAACTTGCTTGTAAAGCCATCATTGCTCCTAAACATCAAGAAGAGGAAACTAAAGAAGGAAGCCTTGATCAGATTGTGAGGAAGGAAGGAGAAAGTGAAGAAGAGGAGAGCTTGGTACCCGACAAGGAGAAGATTCTTCACAAGAAGGAGAGGAGGTTGAAGACGCAATCAGAGTTCGATCAATGGACAAGGAATGGATGGATGAAGCTTCTACAAGTTATATGTGCTACAAAAGCTTTCCACCCGACCTTGATACAGTTTTAGAGAAGGATACTTTTGAGGATTCACTTTGCCAAGCCAAGGCCACGCCATCAACAATCCCACTTGGTGGATTCAAGTATGGTCAATCAAGATTGCATTACATGGTATGGGGCAAAGAGAAGAAAGAAGAAGAAAAGAAGAGGTCTCATGGGTGGAGACACAATTCTTACCAAGTCAACGGGTCATTCATCTCACCGACGACAACCTCAACTTCAAGGAGGTCTTGAGCTGATCTGAGTACTCGAAGACAACGGTCCGGTAAAATGACTTAAAAGACACGCTAGTTGGGAGGCACCCAAACATCAGTTTGCATTTTCTTTTCCTTATCTTTAAATAAAGTACTTGCATGTTTGAATCTTGTTTTTAGGTTAGTTTGTAGTGTAAGTAGTAGTAAACGACCATGCCTTAGTTAAGAATGAGTTCTAATGGACTAAGATGAAGGTCAAATGAGGAAAAGGTGATGTGTTGTTGTGTGTTTCATGCTTATGATTGAATGTATGTGGTTTGGAGGCCTTGGTGTGTATGAATTGCATGGTTCTAACCGTTTTGATTGTTACACACCAAGTGCTCGATAAAATGCCGAAACCACATTATTTGTGCTTATAATAATTTGATGCATGCCAAATGAACTTTAATGCTTTTGTTAGACCTCTAGTAGCATGTTTGAGGGGTAGTTTCGAATATTGATCGATTGGTATAAAGTGTATGGCCCCTTTGCTCAACAAAGCTTACCACTTTGATATGATTTTTGAGCAATTGGTCCATGCCCCTACCTTAGTCATTTAGGTTGCTTATTTCCCTTGGACACGACATTAAAACCCCTAGATTTACATGTTGTCATGTGAACCAATCAATCAATCAAGATTGTTAACTACCTAATTCGACATTGTTTTCCACTTTGCACCCTTGTTTCACATAGTAACCATCAAGTGTGGGGGTGTATAAGATTGGATCCTAGGGACGATGAGAAGTGTTCAATGCATCATTCAATTGTTGATGAAATATGTTTGGCATGGATGGGTATGATCGTTCTTGTGTGTATAGGAACCTTTATAAGGGTTAATCCTTTGAAGAGAGAGTTCCAATGCTCCTCCATCGAAAGTGCAATAAACTTCGAACTTCCAATCAATGGTGAAACCGGATCACTCGAAACTCCACACAACAATTTGAGCCTCAAAGCACCACTACACCATAAACAATAACACCAATAACAACTAGAAGTGTCACCTCGAGGTCGAGAGACTGAGTCCAAAAGGCTATTTCTCAACTTTGGGAGGAGATCAACCCACCCACCCACCCTATCCTTCGATCCCACAATCACATCGATTACGCATTTTGGTAACTTTGTTTCCCTATCCTTTTACCTTTCTCACATTGACGATAATGCATTCATTAAGTGTGGTTGGGAGCAAAGCAGTCAAAATCGGGATTTTACCTAAAATTGAAAACTGGGGTAAAATCGGAATCGTAAAATCGAATCGTAGAATCGTAGGATTTTAAGTACCATATTGAAATTAATATATAATAATATTAATAAGGTAAATCATTAATAACACAAAGACATATAACATTTAAAATGATAAGTTTCAAGATTAATGTTTCAAAATCATCATTTTAATTGTTATTTAATGCGTAACTCAAAATAATTTATGAGGAAGGGATATAGCTCATAGCGTTTGGCTCTTGTTTTCATGTTGTGTTTAGGTAGTTTAACTCAAAGTAGTATTTCGACATCGTCTACTAAGCATGATTTAAAACTAAGAATAAGTGAACTCCAATAAAATAAATACTGTGATTAGTTTGGTATAATTATATTCATTAATTTATTATTTGTCAATGATGATGTTAATTCTTTCGTATTTACAATATTATGATAGCTGTTTTATCGATGAGTTAAACAAGGGGAAGGGAAAGAGGTTAAACTAACTCTAATTTATTTATTTTTTCTTTTGAAATGTTCTTTTAATAGGAAAAATATCTGAGAAGATCCCTCTCATTGCCCTTTCCACCGAAACAATTCTGCTTCTTTTGAATTAGCTCAAACCTCCTATTTTACGATTTTAACGATTTTAATCCCGAATTTTGAACGATTTTAAGGTCCACTGATTTTATAGTAAAATCCTAAAATCCTACGATTTTACGATCAAAATCCCGATTTTGACTGCATTGGTTGGGAGGGGGGTATGCATGAATGCTTGTGTGGAATGTTGTTATTGATTATACTCTCTTACCCCATGAATGTTTAAAAGCTTGATCGAGAGAGTGTGTGCTTTTAGAGTGATTGTGGACGATGATTTAGCATGTTTTAACCACTTGGAGCCTTGTATGTATGCCAAATTTTTTCAAATTTGAGGGCTCAAAGTTGGCCCCTTTTGCATTATGTGCTTTGAATTGCTAGATTATTGTGATGTTATGCATGATAGGGAGGATATTGTAGCGCTGCTGAGGATGTTAAGAGTGAGGAATTTAGTCAATGATTTCCTCCTTGAATATGTTGATATTGTCCACTATCTAGGTTAGGACATGTGTGCGGGATTCTTTACTTACTTTTGGACTCAGAATGTTTGCAAACATGTGTTCAATTTTGAAAAATCTTTTGAAAAAAAGAGAGGTTCTCACGTGAGAGGCAACCGAGCATAGTGTTTGAGATAAACCGTCAAAGGGTTTTTCTCTTGGCTCGGAGTGTCATTCGAGGATGTGTTTAGGGACCGATAGCTTTACCACCTCCTGATCATCTTTCACTACTTACCATTCGTCAAACACCTCTGCTCATCACGGAATTGTATGACAACGTACGAAGTACCTTTTAGTGATTCAAGAGACCTCAAGCTCTCGTTTGTATCCAACATTTTCAATTACTAATTATTAATAATTAAGTAATGAAAAAAATCTGGCTAATTAGTGTTTAAGGAAAATTAGTAAATGAAATTAATAAATTATAAAACCCTCCCTTACCCCCGGCGAGCGGCACAGTCAGTCACTCAGTCAGTTACTGAATTCAGCTCTCTTTCTCTGATCTTTCTGCCTCCGCACCTCCGCACGAATATGGATTTCGGCGGCGGCGACGATGATCACGAACACTTCCACACTCTCCTCTCCGAGCACCACCGAGAACTCATGGCGGCCGAATCACTCGATTCCGACCTCGATTTCGCCTACAGCCTCCAACTGCAGGAAGCCATCAACGCTTCCCTCTCCCTCGTTCCCTCCACTTCTTCCTCCCCACCACCTCTCCCCGCCACCGCAGTTCTCTTCCCCGAGACAATTGGCGCCACCTCCTCCACCTCCGCTCCCAAGCTCCAGTCCGACGAAATCGCCAGGCTTCAACAGGAGATCAACGACCGGAGGCAATCCGAATTCGAGATGAAGCGGATGAGGGAGGATCTCAACCGCCGGATCCACGATCAGGAGGTCGCGCAGGAGATACTCAGTATCCCCGAAGATGATTGGTTCGATTGGGGGGATGAATTCGAGAGGCCGTTCGGGGAAGGGAGCTCGAAGACCACCGCTGTCACAGGGAATCGCCTCGGTGGTGGCGGCATCTTCAGGCTGTATTTCAAGGGTTTGGTCAGTGAAGAGCGGGTTAACGGTCAGACGGTGGTTTTGGCTGGGATTGGCGTGGCGATATGCGACCCGCTTGAGAATTTGGTTTTTGAGGTTAGGAAGCCACTGATCGGTGAAAGGAGCAGAGGTGCTGCAGAAATTAAGGCTCTCATCGAAGGGCTAAACGCCGCTCTTGCGTTGGACCTCAAAAGGATTGTGGTCTTCTATGATTACTATCCACTTTATCAGTTCGTAAGTCTCACTCTTTCCTATTGAATTCTGCTCTCTGTTTATAATGAATGAATGCGAGAAGTTGCCACATTTTATCTAGGTTATGGTCTCAGTGAAAATGAATTTGATTTGACAATCTGAGTTCTTGCAGATCCCGTTCATTTGGTTTATCCTCAACGTGTTATTCCTATTTGTTTCTCTGCCTTCTTTAATGAATGAACATTGTGTCAAATGCTAATGATCATAACTGGAACAGAGATTTGACTTGACTGTTGTCTCCGGAGTGATGATCTCGAGGAAAATAGAGGCAAATCTTGAATTCATATGTGATATGTCTCTGCGTCTGTACGTATTCTCTGGTGTTAAGTTCTTACATTGCTTGGCAAAAAGAAAAAAGAGTTCTTACGTTGATAGCAGCCTTTTCCTCTTACGTTAGACATGCTTGGTTCTCTCGTATCAAGTTCTTACCTTGGCTGAACCCTTTTGCTCACCAACCGTTGGTCTTGGTTTTTAGGGTTTAGGTTTAATGGATTAATCACAAGGAACTTTAACTTTGCAACTGGGGCTTTATTTACTATCTTGGTTTTTTTTGGGCACTGCAGGTTACTGGAAGATGGCCTCCAAAGCAGCGCAAGGTTGCCATGTCAATGAATCAGGTGTCCATTTTGTACAGAAAATTTGAGTTTTGCAATTCAAGTCTGATACCCCGTTATGCCATCAGACTTGCCTTTAAGCTTGCCAGGGATTCTATAGTCTCACAGCTCGCAGGAGGGCCTTCAGAATTCGTCCATGCAAAGACTTCTCCTCACGAGACCTGTGTTATCTGTTTAGAAGATACTGATGTTGATCGCATGTTCTCAGTTGACCAGTGCAGTCATAGGTTCTGTTTTTCATGCATGAAGCAGCATGTAGAGGTGAAGTTGCTTCATGGTATGGTGCCTCAATGTCCCAGTGATGGCTGCAAGTCTGAGCTTAAGGTTGACAGCTGTCAGAAGTTTTTGACACCTAAACTCATTGAAACAATGCAGTTGAGAATAAAGGAAGCTTCAATTCCAGCTACTGAGAAAGTATACTGTCCGTACCCGAAGTGCTCGGCACTAATGTCAAAAAGTGAGGCATATGCTTTTGTTGGTTCTGAAAGAACCCCTGCTAGGAAATGCTTGAAATGCCATGGCCTTTTCTGTATAGACTGTAAGGTTCCTTGGCATAGTGCTATGGATTGTGATATGTACAAAAGGGTTAACCCGAACCCTCCTGAAGATGCGAAACTGAAGTTTCTTGCATCGAGGAATCTATGGCGCCAGTGTAAGAAGTGCAACCATATGATTGAACTTGCGGAAGGTTGTTATCACATGACGTGCAGGTATTCTTCTATTATTGTCCTTATTAGCCTATCTTTGAATTATTTGTCTGGTAACGTACTTTTTGTTTCGAGTTGTTTTCCAATTGCTGTGGTCGTATTGAATGTTGCTTGCAAATTCTGGAAGCAGGAGCGAATTTCTTGATGCTGCTTTGATAACCAATCTTTCAAACAATGGTTTACGAACATTCTCCCATGACATCCAATATCAAGACAAATAACACCAATTTAAACTTGTAAATTATAAGTTTTCTTTCGAGGTTCATCTGACATATGGTGTTTTCCTCTTTGCTTTTGCCTCAGATGTGGGAACGAATTCTGCTACAACTGTGGTGCTGAGTGGAAGGATAAGAAAGCAACGTGTTCTTGCCCACTGTGGGTTGAAGATAATATTTTGCACGAAGATGAATTGGGTTTGTCTGACCAGGAGGAACACTTTCAGGAGGATGAGTTCGAGGACTACTGGGATACAGATTCTGATGATTTCTTCTGAACATTTTATGAGAAAGAAATAAACCTACCGAAACATCCCTTCTCGGCTATGGTTTGGACGAAATAAAGAAATCCAAGATCAAATTGTCGAAAGAATGAATAGCAAATGGCTGGAGCCTGGAGCCCTTAACTGCTTACTCTCTAGTCTCTTCCAGCTCGACTGCAGTCTTTTTTCTTTTCTTTGTTCTGTTAGGGTGATACCCACTTAGAAGTTGTCAAGTTAGGATTTATTGGGAATGTATAGTTATTTACTTATTTAATTTGTAATTTATTGTTTTTGTAATTTTAACAGTGAATTCAATAAAAGTGTTTAATGGTAGGTTACTGTGTATACAGCTTGCTTCAACAAAGGACGGAACGAAGTGAATTGAACAAAGGTGAAATCCTCTTTCCTCACTATTTAGTAGGGGTGGGCATTGGGTGGGTCGGGTGGATTTTGACCATAAAATGCACCCACCCGCGCTTAAATGGATTGATAATTTTTAACCCACCACCCACCCACATTTAGTCTCGGGTTGGGTCGGGCGGATGGTGGATGATGCGGGTGGGTTTGTGGGTTCACCCACATTATAATGTATATAATATAAAGGAGTCAACTTGAAATGATAATATGTGAAGAGAATCATCGAGGGAAACAAGAAGTTGAAATAGGGCGAAAAATGTCGAATTAGTTCTTAAATTGGATAGAAATTCTATTATGAAAGAGTTTTCTACAAATTGAGATGATTATTAGGTGCAAGGAACTAAGGAAAATAATTCCACAAAGGAAAGAGCGGCGATCTAGGCACAAGAATTAGAGGAAAAAGTAAAGGGAATAAGAGGGGATCTCTATTTGGAAGGTTGGCTTTGAGCTTCAAACTCCAGGAGCAGTCCGAGTTTATATCTAACGTCTCCACTCTCCTCTCTCTAGCGCCAACGACTTTGATCTTTTTGCTGTTGGGTTGAGCGGGTCACCCGCACACTCACCCACAACCCACCCACCACCCGGCGGATGGCTCCTAGCGCAACCCGTTACCCACCCACAGACCCACCCACTTAACGAAATTCGGGTCAAATGCGGGTGGGTCGGCCCAAACCCGTGGATGATCCGCCCGCATGCCCAGCCCTACTATTTAGTGGCTAGCGGAAGGGGACCGTAACGCCAAGTTCTTCCACAACTTCATGGTTTTACGATGGCATTTCAACTGAATTTTGCGGTTGAAGGCCAAAATGGGGGATGGATAAACAATCCTCACTCCTTTCAGTCCATATTAATGTTGGGACTTTTTGGGACTAGTGTACTTACGATAGCCCTAGTTCCAAAATTGAGATGTGGCCCAAATTAATTTTTAATAATAATAAATTAAAATATTTATATCGTAATTATTTGAAATGTAATTTCTTTCTAGCATTGTTTAAAATATAATTATCTATTATGCTTCTAATTTTCGTATTCTCAATGGGATAATTTCAATTGTTATCGTAGCTATTTCATTAAAATTTTATTCTATTATCTTTTTAAAACAAATAGGATATGCATAGTGTATATATAAGTGTCTAGTGTATATATACATGAGAATAGTAACCAATGGCTAACACTAATATTAATTAATATATAAGTATGTGCACAACCTGCTCACAATCGATCCTTACCTGTCAAAGAGGAGAAGAAGGTCGAAGAAGAATAGGTGGAAACCATAGGGACATCTCCCATCATAGGTAGACCCAACCCTGCTTTTCAAAAATTCCTCAATAAGCAACGAGAATTGGACAAGAGGTTGGAAGCAAAGATGTGAGATCTTATAGGGTTGAATGGTATCCATGATGTTGGCCGGTACTATCTAAAATAGGGTTTGAATGGTATTCATGAATCATGATGTTGGAAAGTACCATCCATAATAGGGTTGGATGGTGTCCTTGGTTAGTACATTAATCATCTTGGATGGTTACCTCATACCGAGCTACCATCCACCAAACCTACGACCCGACTTGATAAATCGGTCAATCCATGTACACATGAACCAACTACTTAAAGTGGCCAAACTGTTCATGCATGTAATAATTATTGAAAATTATTTTGGTGTAAACACATATTGGTCCATTACTAGTATTGTTCGATTCAAATTTGACCCATACCACCTAACATTTTATTTTGATCGGATTTTACAATATAGTTAGATTCGGACGGATAAAAGAAATTATTAGTATTTTTGTCATTTTTTTCTCAAAGCCTTTTAATTTAACTAGATTTGTGCCCGGCTTGTTGGCCGGGTGAGTTTTGCATTTTATCTTATCGATCGAATAATTTAAATGCATACTTTAATTATTTTAAGTCATTTGTGTTTTTACAACTAATTTTCAAGAACATTATTACAACGTTTTTCAATTTAGGTTTATTGGATCGTAATTCAATCATTGTTTTTATAATTTATTTTTACATGTTCATTTTTCTAGGAAGAAAAGAAGTCAAATATTATTTATGGAATATCAGAAATTGCCGATAGGCTTATCAGAAATTGCCGATATGTTCATTTTTATAATTTATTTTTACACCTTCTCCAAATCAGGCAAAAGAGTAAACGAAATCCCTTGCCCTCTTACATGTGACATTAATTTTTAAAAAAATCTACCAACATTTATCATATAGAAATATGATAATTCGACCTCTCTTATTTGTAATCATATCCTTCTAGGAGGTTTAAAAAATATCACTATGAAATATTGAAATTTCAGTCCAAATTTGTCAATCAAATTTATTATTTATACTTGATACATGAATGTATGTTTGTTCTCAATATCTAATGTTTGAGTTGTATATGATAAGTGAAATGTCTATTTGTTATGAAAAAAAGTTCATATTATAAAATATTGTTTATTAATGATGAGATAACCAAACAAACTGTTATGTTTGTTTCAAAATAGCGGTATGAAACGGTTGAACCACTGTCCGGACCAAGATACTAAATTCATGGTACTAAAATTTGATATCCAATATTTCCTTTCGACCGGTTGGTCAATACATTCGTACTACTTTTCTAAAAGTAAGACTCCAAATTATATATGATTTTAGCGGTATGAAACGGTTGAATCACATCTGAACCAAGATTCTAGTATAACTAACCATAAAAATTAGGGTGTGCCTACTGTGACATGCATGTCACGGTGACTTGCACTTACCGGTCGACCTCAGTTAGGATTAGGTCGACCTCATTTAGAATTCGGTCGACCTCATATAGGATCTGGTCGACCTCATTTAGGATTCGGTCGACCTCATATAGGATCAGGTCGACCTAATATGTTGTTTCAGTGTAAAAACAGTTCATGGTGCCTACTTTGGATATTCATATCATACAATTGGCTAGATGGAAATTGAAGACTAATGACTTGTTTTGAAGCTGGAGTGTCCCTCTACATATTGAAGTGATTGAGAGCTCGATAGGAAGTCCAGAAGACCATTTTTGAACCTCATCAAAAGGCTATGCCAAAACTGGGAAACTGCCTGGAAATGACCAAGTCTGGAAACGTGTTTGTGAAGCCTAATTTGGAGCTCAATTCGAGAAGCATGAATGCGAGTCGAGTCTAGGAGCCTCTACCACGTTAAATTAGGTATGTTTTTATACAAATTCAAGGCATTGGATGAAAGATTCGATATCTGTAAGGCTTCAAACAAAAGGGTCGAAGTTGCTACGAAGGCTGTTTTTCTGGCAGACTTCGAGCACAAGCAAGCTGCCAGAAAAACAGCATTCGTAGCAATTTCGAGCCTTTTGTTTGAAGCCTTAAAGATATTCAATCTTTCATCCAATGACTTTCCTTTGTATAAAAAAATACATAATTTAACGTGGTAGAGGCCCCTGGACTTGACTCGCATACATGCTTCTCAAATTGAGCTCCAAAGTAGGCTTGACAAACACGTTGCCAGACTTAGCCATTTTCAGGCAGTTTCCCAGTTTTGGCATAGTCTTTTGGTCAGGTTCAAAAATGGTCTTCTGGACTTTCTATTGAGCTCACAAGTACTTTAATCTGTAGAGGGACACTTCAGCTTCAAAACAAGCCTTTAATCTCCAATTACCATCTAACCAATTGTAAGATATGAATCTCCAAAGTAAGTATCATGAAACTGTTTTTATACTGAAACAACATATTAGGTCGACCTAATCCTATATGAGGTCGACCGAAAAGTGCATGTCACCGTGACATGCATATCACCGTAGCAAAGTCCTAAAAATTAACTTAGGAAAAAAGATGAAGAGATAAGTTTGAGGTAGAGAGAGAACAAATAGTGGGAGGAAAAAAAAGCAGTTGGCGAGGAAACGGTTTAAGGGGAATTTGTTTTTTTAAATATTAAAACCCTCATAAAACCGAGAATTGCGGAGAAGCCTTGGAGGCTTACGTGGAGGGGTCATATTTTCAATCTGCTTTAATATATTTTAAGATTTAAGATAAGATACTATAGAAACTATTAGAAAGACAAAGAAAGATATTATATGGGCCTGTGGTCCTCGCTCATGTCCAACTGGAGGCCCAACCTTCTTTCATCACGCAGGATGGGTTTTGAGTTTGACCCAAAACAACTCCGCCATTGAGCCAACGAGTTACCAACCATTGTCCATTGGCTATTCCTTATACAGAAACAACTCCCCCCATCTCTTTCGTCCGCTGCGATACCAGTCGTTAAACGGAGTCGGAGAAGCTCGAGGTGATCATCAACACCAGGAAGTGAGACAAGGCAAATCGCCTAGGAACCATGAGCGGGGTTGCGAAGAAGGTGACAGATGTGGCGTTCAAGGCGTCAAAGACCATTGATTGGGAAGGCATGGCCAAGCTCCTTGTGACCGACGAGGCTCGCAAGGAATTCGCCAATCTCCGCCGCGCCTTCGACGACGTTAACTCTCAACTCCAGACCAAGTTCAGCCAGGTCCCCTCCATTTTCCTCTGTATCTAATTTTGTTGTGAATTTCGGACATCCTCTTTTCCGGTTTCCGATCGCTCCTTTTGCTAGGGTTTCTGCAATCTGGGCCTAGATCTGAATGTATGCGCTTCCGGCATTTATGGAATGATGCTTAGGGATTAGCTTTAGTTTTGTATGCTACTGTTTAAGATTCGTATGATAGCATCTCCAAGGCTTTTGGTAGTCATTTGGTGAAAAGTTTAGGGCCAATGGATAACTATGGTCTGACAATAGGAATGTTTTCCATCCATTAATGTGGTCTGACCTTCGGGAATTTATAAAGCCAATGAAGTTGGTTTTCCTATAGTTTCTGTGGGGATTGATTGTAAAAAACAGATCGATTGAATAGTGGGTTAGTGTGAGATTGCTTAGCTAGATTAGAAGTATAATCTCTTTGCTGGGTTTGGTAGGTTTTGTTACTTTCCGATTCTTTGAAACATGGTTAGCGTGGAATTCCTGCTATGTGTAGTACAAGGCAACAGCTTATTGCTTCATGAAATTATACATTTAAAGTACCGAGCAAATGCAAGTGAATCTGTTGAATATTATTTTCTATCTGAAAAGAGGAGAGAAGATGAGAAATAACTGAAAGGGATATACTGATTGCTGAAAGAATGTGATTTTGATTCTCTGGGATGTAGCAAATGCATGGTTGTATGCTGTATCGATATACTAAGGTTATTGAAGCTTGTTGTTTATGTTGTTGTACACTTTATGCAGCTCACAACTGTCTCCAGCTGCTCTAAAAGTGATTTCATATTTCATTTCTCTCAATTTGTGAGCTTGGTTTCATTACCATTTATTTATTGCTAGGACTTGTGAGTATAATGTCTGTAGAACTGGAGGTAGTCTCATAGTGTAATTATTCAATCTTTTCTAGAAGCACTTGGAGCACAAACTTATGTGAATGTTTTTCACTCTGAATTTTCAGGAACCTGAACCAGTAGACTGGGAATATTACCGAAAGGGGATTGGTTCTCGTTTGGTTGATATGTACAAGGAAGCATATGACAGTATGTTTACAACTTCTTAAGAGCTGTAAACTGTATTCGGCTGAACTACTTCTTGGGAGTGCATTTATATGGTCTTTCTTGTTTGTGCTCATAATTATGTCGGTTTCGTGTTATTTTGAGCTTCCGCTTTCCTGAATCTATATCCGTTTGACTGGGGTCATTAGGTCCTCAAGTAATATATGTCCAAAAAGGTTCAATTGCAGAGAGCCTAAAATTAGGGGTTTCATTATCTCCTGTCTTTTCAAATAGCATCTCCGTGTCTTAGGACTTGTCATTTGTGGCTTGCAACGAATTGTAATGAATTATGTAGAGGAGGCAGGGAGGGAAAGAAGGAAAAAGAAGAAGGATGCAAAACCTCGTGTTTCTTCTGTGAGGAGATTCCTCGTGTTCCACTTGATTCCATGTTATTCTCAAGAAATATATGAGAGGACACAGTTGTTAGCTAGGATACTTCACAATCCCTCACCTGTTCAAGTTTCAAGTAGCTGTTACAAACTGGTTGAAAAGCTTAGGAATGTGGAAGCTTTCTTATTGGCTTGGATAGTTGTAGTCTATTGCCACATGAAGCAAATAGACTGATGTAAAAGTATGTGCTCCATTCAAAGTGGTTCAGGTCGCTTATAAATTTCCGTAACTGGTGCTTCTTATCTCTTAGCTACTATATTTGAAGTTTAGTAATAGAATTACGTGCGACACACTTAATTGTGCTTGCTTTGTATGGGTGGCGCCTTATAGAGCGGATTGCTGTGGATTTCTTAGAGAAAGGTATCTCTTATGTGTCTGTTTATGTAATTTGATGTGACTTTGTGTCTCTAATATTTTTGCAGGCATTGAGATACCAAAGTATGTAGACAAAGTCACTCCTGAATACAAACCCAAGTTTGAACAACTGGTGAGCACATGAACAAACAGGAAACCCAATGCTAATCCTGATTTTTCGTTTGTTAATCTGCCGTTGTCCTTGCTCTGTCATTAGTTCTATGGTTGAATAGTTCAACCGTGTTCTTTAGCCATTTGATTAAATTAAACATCTGGACTTTTAGATGGTGGAACTCAAAGAGGCGGAGCAACAATCAGTTAAAGAATCAGAACGATTGGAAAAGGAGATTCTCGAAGTCCAAGAAATGAAGGTGGTGACAATGGATGATTTTCCTGACTCTTCTATTTCAAATATGCTTGGCTATGCAGTTTTCCTCACTGTTTATTCTCTCTGCTCTCTGAATTGTGTTTGAACAGAAAAAGATCAGCACCATGACTGCTGATGAGTACTTCGAGAAGCACCCTGAGCTTAGGAAGAAGTTTGACGATGAAATCCGAAACGACTACTGGGGCTACTGAAATCTCTAGATACCGCCTTTATCAAAATGGAGGGTTGGTTGAGGGTTTCATTCCAAGAATAAAAGCACCTCCAGAATTCTTTCCTCTGTAATTTTGGATTTTTCTGTTATATTTTTGAACGGCCGAGGTTTATGTCATGATGCACCACTCGGCAAGGGATTGATTTGGATCCGCTTTGCAAGGGAAACGATAGACAAAGTGGTTATACACTTGGTGTTGCTTAAGACTGCAGTCTTGTTTTGCAGTGTGAGATCTAGCTAGTTACTGCAGTCTTGATGCTAGCTAGTTACTGCATCCATCTATCTGGCAATGTTACTGGTAGCCATATGAGATGCAATTTCATTTCAACCTCATGGCTCGATTAGATGATTCTGTAATTTGATCCCCCTCCCCAGATGGTCTCTTTTGGCATTGATACAAGTCCAGTGGACGCAACAACCTGTAAATAGGAAAGCATATCTCGTCTCAAATTGTTCAAAGATAGAAAAGAAAGCAGAAAAGTGTAGTACAATATCAGAACCATAGAAGGCTACATGTGCAGAAAGTACAACCAATGTATGCTTACACTTTAACAATCAACAGCGAAGAGCAAGAAAGTGTTCAAAGTTCAACCCTGTTTCAGCTATAATCTTGAGGAAACTAGTGTTGGATGAATTCGGTAAACTCAAACTGGACCCTGATTCTATGTTCTTAACTATTGAAGTGGGCTGGGCCGAGAAGACTGGCCACGTTACCATGGGCCGAAAGGAAGAGGGCCGCCCGGCCTTCTCTCTCGCGCGGTGAAGAAGAAAAAATAAGAAAAGGGAGAAAGGAGCGGTTAGCGGCAAGTAATTGAAGAGTTTCCGCCACATAATAAGGAAAGTTGGAAGAGAAGAAGGCGTATGCTCTGCAGCCGGAGCTCGGAGAGAAACATCGTGCCGCCGAGCTTCCGTTGCTTTAATACCGCTCTTTGATCAGGAGGATTACCACTGAAATTGAGATCAAAGTTTTGCGCCTGAGTATCATCTGCTTCCAGTTCTGCTGTTTCGTTCTTCCTCCCTTTCACTTCTTCCACGTTTCCGCTGATCGGAGTTCCCTCAGAACTTCTCGTTTCCATGTCTAAAAGGTGACTCTACTCAAAAACTCGCCCCCTCTTGTTTTGTTTCTTCTTCTTCTGCTTGCTTGTTTACCAACGATCTTTGGCTATCACGACTCTTTCTTCGTTTTCTTGTTTTTCTCTTGGCAGTTTCCTTTTCTTTTGATACTCTTGCTTTCAATTGTGCTGATTGATAATCCTTGCTGAATCTACTTGCTCTAGGATGTTGTGCAAGTTCTTTGCCCATGGGGCATGCTTGAAAGGGGAGCATTGTGAATATTCCCATGGCTGGAAAGATCCTTCAAGCAATGTAAGTATGTTAAATCCACTCCGTTATTTTAGATGTGTGTTTGGAATTCGATTATTTTCGGTTTCCTCACTCCAAATTCCTGTGCAGATTTGCACCTATTATCAGAAAGGGAAATGCTATTATGGGAGTCGTTGCCGATATGAACATGTTAAAGCTTCCAGGCCACATTGTGCTGCTTCTTCTTCAGAGCTCTCCCCTGGCAGCAGACCTTTCGTTCCATCCAATCATCCACCATGGCATTTGGAATCTGCGGAGAATGAGTTCGTTGAAACTGATGTTGCCGTAGAGCTGCAAAATTTGGAACCATCAGATCGTCCGCTTTGTTCTTATGCTGCCGCTGGAAATTGCCCTAGAGGAGACCAGTGTCCACATATCCATGGCGACTTGTGCCCCACCTGTGGGAAGCCTTGTTTGCATCCTTTCAGGCCTGAAGAAAGAGAGGAGCATATGAGGACATGTGAGAAGATGCAAAAGCACCTTGATGCATTGAAGCGCAGCCAAGAAATAGAATGTTGTGTGTGCTTGGATAAAGTGCTGTTGAAGCCGGCGGCAGCACAAAGAAAGTTTGGTGTACTGTCTGATTGTGATCATCCATTCTGCATAGGTTGTATTAGGAATTGGAGAAGCAGCTCGCCAACCTCTGGAGTGGAACCTAGTTCTATGTCGAGGACGTGCCCAGTATGTCGCAAGCTATCCTATTTTGTGGTTCCCAGTGTGATCTGGTATTTCTCCCAAGAAGAGAAGATGGAAATCATTGAGAACTACAAGACAAAGCTTAGGCAAGCTTTTTCTGTTTGTTATAGTTGCTTGATTATCCTATGAGATCAGTTTTAATTTGTTGGAATAGATTTTGTATGCCCAGACCATACTGACTACATTTATTAATGGTTAAAGGAACTAATCTTAATCTATGCTCACATTTTCCATCTTACAGTTCAATCGATTGCAAACACTTCAAGTTTGGAAATGGAAACTGCCCATTTGGCTCCAGTTGCTTTTACAAGGTAAATCAGACTCCAATTCTTAATTCTGCTACGTCCATTGTCATGCTTTTGTCAGTATTACTGTCTGAACAGGTTATGCTAAGTATGCTGCTTATTGAAGTCAGTGAGCTCATGAAACTCTCTGTTTTGCATTCAATATTTATCATTTTCTTCTAATATATTTCTGTGTGAAGTTCCCACATGTTATGTTGTCTCTTATATGTGATATGAATTTTCCTAGACGATGTACCTCTCATGATTTGCAAGTGGTGTCCATCTGCTTGTCTTTCTGTTACTGACTGACCAGCTAAATGAAGATGATTAGAACTAGGCTTGACATCTTATCGCAACTACAGATTTTAGAGGTGGATGATTTAGTTCCTGGTCTGCCATATTCATTAGCTACAATATGCTCACATGCTTTTCAGTTCTGATCTGCATTTTCTTTCTCAGTTGATGAGCTACATGCCAGTCTGACTTCTCAGTTACATGATTTTGCTTCACCAGTTAAGGGGTTAGGGTCATGATATGTTCATTTACATTTTGTGCTATAGTAATCTTATAGATAATATCGAGATCAGCTTTAGTCAAACACTTTCGCTTCTCATTTTCCAGTATGTTGTGCCATTTTGTCCTTTGTTGAGTTTTGATTCAGGAGAATGTTAGCTTCATGACTCCTTTAATGGATGTAATGTTCTTGTTGTATTCCAGCATCATGTCAAGCCTGGCTCTTATGTGTGGAAACATCACAAACCACCTCCACGGAGGCCTTTTCCCCGCAACATCAATGCTGTGGATTTTCCGGCATTGTATATGCAGAGAATGGTGGATGATGATGATGAAGATGATGCGTGGGATCCGGAATTCCTTGATTATGATGACTTCTGTGATCCGTTTAATATGGAGTATCTCGATCCTGAAGATTTTAACTTTTCGGATGATGAGGATAGCTTGTCACCTTTCCAAATGGCTTTATTACTAGGCGACCTCGATTCTGGAACCCCTGACTATTCTAGTGACGAGTAGAGCTGTTAAGCTATCTATTAGGGATGCCGTGCACGTTTTCAGTCGTTTGGAATTTCGTTAGCGCAGCAGGAGTGAAGATTCTGGCTGTTAAAACGATCAAGTATCGAGGCTCTGTGAACATTTGACAGAGTTCTTCCATTTTGTTAACTCACTGTGCTCATACATTTTTCTGATAGTTATACTGCCCTAATGGTAATTTGGAGACTGAATTTTTCTTCATTGATTTGTGAGTGTGCAATGTGCATGCTTTCTACCATAACAGCAATATACTTACCTGTGGTAGAAAACAGAAGCCGCCTCCTTCTGCGTGGCCAAACTGTCAAATCCTATGTTAAATTAAAATTAAAATTTCATTATAAGCCTTCTTTTTAAGATACCGGTTTACTAACGGTTTTTGAAATGCCCACTATCGGTTGGACCACCAAAATGCGAGCTATTCATATTATCGGTCCGATTCAGATTTGACAACATTGGTATTTTGGCCTCTTAACTGCAGGACAGAAAGTTCAACATGGCAATGATGAAAGACTTTGATTCCGGGATTAGAGAGCTCGGTGGAACGATGGCACATTGGTGTTTCGCTGCTTCACTAGAGATTAATGATGGTGGATATTGCCAAACTGAATTCTGGACAACGTCCCTTTGCCTACATTCATAAGCAAGAAGACCCATTGCACCAGATCAAGGTTTGTAAACCTAAAAGCTCAAATGAAACTTGGAACAAACAGTCAATCGAGACAGTAAAACAAAGGGTGATGAGACAAATGTTTATCAACCACACATTGAGCGCCAAATATTCGACTGTTCAACAGCAGATGAAAAAACAAAACTTTTGAGCAGCTCCACTGAACGGAGAGGAGAGCACCTCGACAAAGGAACAGTTAATGCAACCTACAAACGACTCGAACACAGGACTCGAATTCTCAAAAAAGTACGCCACCGCCTATCAAGCACCCAATTCTGAGAAAGGGTACCTAATAACCAAGTACAAAGGATTGACGAAGGCACACCGAAAGTCAACGAAGAGAACACTACATTCCCGCGACCACAACAATTATTCATAAGACACTTCAACTTTAAACCAAAACATCCAACCTGCACGGTTCACTTCTTCTTGGCAGCAGCCTTGGTGACCTTGGCACCAGTAGGATCCTTCTTCTCCACTGCCTTGATCACACCCACGGCAACAGTCTGCCTCATGTCCCTGACAGCAAACCTACCGAGAGGTGGGTACTCGGAGAAGGTCTCCACCACCATGGGCTTGGTCGGAATCATCTTCACGAACCCAGCATCACCATTCTTCAAGAACTTGGGCTCCTTCTCAATCTCCTTGCCAGATCGCCTGTCAATCTTGGTTGTGATCTCAGAGAACTTCACAGCAATATGGGAAGTGTGGCAGTCAAGCACTGGGGCATAACCGTTCCCAATCTGGCCAGGGTGGTTCATGATGATGACCTGGGAGGTGAAGTTAGCAGCCTCCTTTGCAGGGTCATCCTTGGAGTTCGAGGCAACAAACCCACGCTTGAGATCCTTGACAGCAACATTCTTGACGTTGAACCCAACATTGTCACCAGGGAGAGCCTCCTGGAGGGCTTCATGATGCATCTCAACTGACTTGACCTCAGTTGTCAGCCCAGTAGGACCAAAGGTAACAACCATACCAGGCTTGATGACACCTGTTTCCACACGACCCACTGGCACAGTTCCAATACCACCAATCTTGTACACGTCCTGGAGTGGGAGACGGAGTGGCTTGTCAGATGGCCTCTTAGGCTCGTTGATGTTGTCAAGAGCGTCAAGAAGGGTTGGGCCCTTGTACCAGTCGAGGTTCGTAGACCTCTCAATCATGTTGTCACCCTCAAAACCAGAGATGGGAACGAATGGAACCTTGTCTGGGTTGTACCCAACCTTCTTCAAGTAGGATGAAACTTCCTTCACGATTTCATCATACCTAGCCTTCGAGTACTTGGGAGTGGTGGCATCCATCTACAGTAAACATCAATACAAAATTTAGTACGATATCCAAGTAGCATCAAGATTCAAGAATAAATAGATAGTTAACAAGAGCACAGCAAGAAGAGACTCGCTGACCTTGTTGCAGCAGCAGATCATCTGCTTGACACCAAGGGTGAAAGCAAGGAGAGCATGCTCACGGGTCTGTCCATCCTTGGAGATACCAGCCTCAAAACCACCAGTTGTAGAGTCGATGATGAGGACAGCACAATCAGCCTGGGATGTACCAGTAATCATGTTCTTGATGAAATCACGATGCCCAGGGGCATCGATGACTGTGCAGTAGTACTTGGTGGTCTCAAACTTCCACAGGGCAATGTCAATGGTAATACCACGCTCACGCTCAGCCTTGAGCTTGTCAAGCACCCAGGCGTACTTGAATGACCTCTTGTTCATCTCAGCAGCTTCCTTCTCAAACCTCTCAATCACACGCTTGTCAATGCCTCCAAGCTTGTAGATCAAGTGGCCGGTGGTGGTTGACTTCCCAGAGTCGACATGGCCAATGACCACAATGTTGATGTGAACCTTTTCTTTACCCATTTTTATCTAACGAGGATAAAAAAAACTGCAATTCATGAAAAAATCAACATCAGTATAAAATGTCAACCTATATATCTCATATAATCACCAGATTATATGAAAACAGAAACAGATGCTTCATCACACCGCCATCAGAATGATGTATACCAAAAATTGAAGATTGCTTGATTGTTTCAATTATTAAAAATCAGATTGGTGGAGCAGAAGGACATAGCTAGATATGAAACGGAACGAAGCTAAGAAAAAAGCCTTCACTTTAGCTAACCGCAAACTATACGATTGGAAGCACATGCACACAACGGCTACAGCTAAGCATCAGTGAAATTGATACTACATCGCACGAGAAAGCAACGTCTAGAATAGATCTGTAATACGGACGGAAAAGGAACCTGAAGATCCGAAACTTACCGCAGTAACGCAGAAGAAGAGCCTCTCCTTCTGTGGCCGGCGGTGACGAACTAACGAGTAAAGAGCGATTTGTGGTGTGGATGTGCTGTGTGCAGCTGCGAGAGAGAAACACAACTGAGAGAAACGCGCAGCTTTTAAAAGAATAAGAGAGGGGAGAAGTGCACGGCGTAGTTAGGGTTTATTATCAACCGTTGGATTCTACGGGGAGATATCAACGATTGAGAAACGTCTGACGTTGCAAATGCCCCCTGCTCTAAGTGGGGTCGTTTTGATTACCATCCCGGATTTTACAAGAATAATTTGTTTGGAAAGCATTCGGAATTTAAGATTAGAAATTTCAAAAATCATCAATCGTGGTTTTTCTAAAAGCTAATAGCCATGATTCGAGCATAGTTACACATGTTTTTATCTCATATTCTTGTGATGTTTCAGGTATTTACATCACTCGAGGTTCAATTTTACACTAGATTTGTGCATGTTTTTAGCATGTTTCACGTCTTAGCAGGTGGAATTGACCTCAGGAGCGAAATTCGAACGGAAGAGAGTGAGAATGGAGTGAAATTGACAAAAAAGCAGAGATCACGGTCAAGGCGCAAACATCACGGGCGGGAGACCATGAAGATGGAGGCCAGACCGTAAAGATGGGCAACTTCCATGAGGCTTTTCACGTCTCGCGGGCATGTCAATTGTCACAGCACAAGAATGTGATAATTTCCATCCGACCGTGAAGACGATAAATGAACCGATGCGTTTTGGGTCGAGATCACGGGCAAGCTTATAGGATCACGGGCGTGAGATATGACCGTTATAATCGCCCAACTGGAGTATATAAAGAGGAGTGAGCTTAAACCAAAGGAGGATAGTTATGGAGTGAGATTGGCTTCTTCTTCTTAAACTAGAGAGAAAGTCACGAATCAAAGGAGAAATAAGAGAGTTTTGACCTACCCAAGGCTTGAAGAGAGGATATTTCTCCTCCAATGAGGCAATCCAAGCAACTAGAGGGGAAGAGAAGCAATTTATCATGGTTTTTCTTTCCATATTTGTTGTATTCCTCTTCTTAGTCATGAAGTAGTTCTACAATTCACTTGGATATTGTGAACCCTAGTCTAGAAATGTGATAGATTGTATGAATTGAATTTTATGTGTGTTGGGGTTGTGTTTAATATAATGTTTGAGGTATTTTTCATGATTCTTGAGTGTTGTTATTCATTTCTCAAATTTAGGTCAAATTCACAAAGGTGGAAGAAATTCCCCTTTGGGCCAGAAGAAGCTAGATCTCTCGATTATTTTTATAAAAAAGCTAGATTTCTTATCCAATTAGATAACCCCATATAGGGCAAATAAGGGAGGGTCTCAAACACCGAATTACTGCCGTGAATCTATCGTGATTGGTTACTTTTTCGCCGTTGCGATTAGCTTCTAAGGGAGTAGTCTTAGCAATCCTTAGTCGATTAGTCAAGAGAGTTAGCTTCCTAGCTTATTTTGTCAATCCTTGATTAATCGACTAAGAGAGTGGGGTTTCTCCACTAATGGCATCCTCGCCACAGTATATGAACACACATTTCCACACTAGAGTTCCATTCGGTTGACCTTGACACGATACTAGGTGAAACAATACCCAGGTGAAGCTTTCTCACATCCGAATTCATCACAATTGACTTTATTTGTTTGCCTTCACTATAGTTCTTTAGCTTTAACTCCAAATCGTTTGTAGATAACAATTTAAACGATTGAAGTAGGGGTACATGGACCGCCTCGGGTTGACGTTTAAAACACTTTCCTATACTACACCCTACTAGAGTTTGCGCTTAGGCTTTAATAAGGATTTAATTGTGTAGTTAGGAACGAGTCAAGTTTTTGGCATCATTGTCGGTGATAGTTTACTGTCCATTATTCAGAAAAAGTCGTTTAGTGTTACTCTAGCTTTTCAACTTATCCATTGTTGAGTGTGAATCTTGCTTGTCTTGGCTCGAGTTGCGTTTTGTGATGTGTGTGCATGAGGTGTATAACCCGGAGTGGTCCGACACCTTTGGCCCCAGTACTAGACGAGAAAATCAACCAGACTGCCCAACTCTTGGCTTGGGAGAGAGATTTGAGGGAAGCAAGGGAAAGACCAACAGATTGGGGTAAACCACACGTTGAACTCGAAGGAGAAGTCGAAGTTGAGGAGGAAGTTGAATCGGAAGAAGAGGTTGAAGTTGAGAACCTTGATATGGGGATGAAGAAAATCACATAGATGGTGAACCGAGGACGATGGGCTATTACATGGCCCACGGGCGCGAATATTCAATCAAGCATCTTGCATCCACTCGTGGCCGTCAAAAACTTTGAGATAAAGCTCGGCTTCATTACAATGATCCAGAACAACATGCAATCTATGAACTAGAGA